AATACTTCATGGGACTAATTACGTTTCCCCTTGGAACCCAGGTCCCATCCACCTTCCAGGAACATAAGGCAGCAAAAAAAACTTATTGAATTTAAATCCTTCAGCAGACAGATCTTACTTGGCTGAAGGAACTTTTCCCAGAAGAGCAGCTGAGACAATCTGTTWTTGCTGCTTCCCCAAACACACGCAGCCCAGTGAGACCCAGTGAGCCTGAGAGGTGGGTGCCCTTCCCCTATATTGCTGTGGGGCTGGGGGAGCACTGAAGAATGCATACAGAAGAAACAGAGCCCGAGGCGCCCTACAGGACCCCCGAGTGCCCTTTAGGAAACTYGCTTGAATAATAAAAAGGTCAGCAGTTAAAAAAAAAAAAAAAAGAAAGAGTGAAGTCCTGTTCTGCAGAAAGAGGTGAGATCCAAGAGCGTCTTATTTCACCACGGAATTCAGATCACATAAGGAGATGGGAGGAGGCCTCTGGCCTCCCTGGGGAGAAAGGCCAGCCCAGAGTGGGGAGACGCCTGCAATGGCCCAGGCMATGGCCCCCTCACCTAAGACAGTAGCAGGGAGAAGACAGAAAGTGTGGGGACCCTGAACACAAAGAAACCAACGGCTTCTGTCCAAACCTGAGCAGGTGTAATTTGAGAGGGAGAATGGAGATTCAGGAACTCACAGGTCACTCAGGGGAACGGAGCAGRGGAGAGTGCCGTTAGCAGCCGATGGAGCACCCCCTCACATGGGCCTCTCTGATCATTTGACAGTCACACCTGTGAAGACAGGAGCCCTGTCCCCCAGATCTACTTAAGAGCAGCTGGATGACCATGCCTGCCTGCCTTTGGGGATCTTTCAGAGTGGCCTTTTAACAGATCTCCACATTCTCAACAGAGCAGCTTTCCCCCAATACTGGGTATGGGCCTATATTGGTCCATTTTTAGTTACTACAACAAAATACCTGAGACTGAGTAACATTGTAAAGAAAAGAGGTTTATGAGGCCCACAGTTCTTGTCCAAAGTCAAGGGCCCACATCTTGTGATAGTCCTCTTTCTGACAGAGTCCTGAGGCAGCTGAGGGCATCAATAGGCAGAGATGCGGATAGCATATGTGTGTGTCTCTTCTGGACTTTCCCAGTACTCAATCATAGAGACTCCACTGGTCCACCGGGATGAATTTATCTAATCCTCATCACCTCCCAAAGGCCCACCTTCATTTTTTTTTTTATAGAATTGGGGATTAAACCCAGGGCCTTTTATCACGGAGCTMYATTCCCAGCCCTTTTTGCTTTTTGAGACAGGGACTCCCAGAGTTGCCCAGACTGGTCTCAGACTTGTGATTCTCCTGCCACAGCCTCCCAAGCAGTTGGGATTAGGCCTGCACCACCACGCCTGGTGCCTGAGGCTCCCCTTGGAAACACCCATAATCAGATTAAATTTCCTTTTAACACCTTCCAGGAGGGATTGAATGCCAGCGTGTGAACCACGGGGACACACTGACTCCACACCCAGACCCTAGCATTCGATCCCCCGACCTCTAAACCTCCTGTCTTCATAACCCAAGTGACAATGGCTCCATCTCCAACAGTCTCAGAGTCTCAGTTTATCCCAGGATTATTTCAAAAGCCCAGAGCCTCCTCTGTGACTCAAGGCAGACYCCTGCAGCTGTAAGCCTGTCGATAAAAACAAGTCCTCTCCTTCCAAGATACCAGGCAGGCCAGGCTGGGGGTGGGGAAACATTCCTATTCCCAAAGAGAGAAACAGGGAAGTAGAAAGAGGAAGCTGCCCCAGGGAAGAGTAAACCTCAGCAGGGCCCATGTTCAATCCCAAAGCTCCAAGTTCAGCACACTACAGGGAGGGGTGAGTTCCCAAGGCTTTAGTGCGGCTTTGCAGACCGCAGCCGTGATGACTCTCATGCAATTTCCCTGCAATGGGAGCTGCACGTTACTGGGGCTGGGGTCCCCCCTGAGGCCCCAGTCCTATGGTTCCCACCAGGGGCTCTCTGYGTGGCATTCTGCACACTCAGCACCAGGGTCAGCTCAGCACCAGCAGCCCCCAGCCCGGGCCACGCTGGCAGAGTGCCGTCTTGTGCTGTGCCCCTGGAGGGTGTCTGAGCCCCTTTCCTGACATACTGCTGCCCTGGAAGGTCCCTGGGCCTGTGAGGGGAGGGCAGCCTCTCTGGATGCCCTGGGCTCCTGTTGCCCATCCTGGTGTGAAGCCCTAGATTACTTTTATCCTCACTAATCCTGCAAGGGGTTTCTTGGTCAGGACCCTCACCTGCTTTTCTTAGCTCCTTCCTTGGCCAAGCTGTGTGTTGATTCCAACCCTTTCCATTCTCTTTCCTTTCGCTCTTGAGTCTCACAGTCAGTCTGACCAAAAGCAGCCCACAGTGCCCAGGACACAATGTAATGTGCTTTGKCCTTTTGATGTCTCCTTGGCTGAGTGAACTAGTCCATCACCCTTGGCTTTCACAAAGCCTTAGGGCATTTACACAATGAAGTCAGGGTCTTTACTCCTTCATAACCAGGGTGACCTTTTCTTCAGTCTCCAAGAAGATCCTTGTTTCCATCTCAGACCGATCCCTATTCTCTTCTCCTGAGCCCTCACCAGACTTTCCGATAGTGTTCTTCTTATATATAGTAGCATATTTCTAGCTTGCTCCTTCAGCCTCTTCCAATCTCTGTCTGTTATTCAGCTCCAAAGTCACTTCTACATTTTTGGGTCTAGTCTAGTCATAGTAATGACCCATTCCTAGTTATAGTAATGACATTCTTAGTACCAATTTTCTGTATTAGTTTGTTTGCATGTTTTTACTACAATAAAACACCCGAGCTGGGTAACGTTATAAAGGAAAGAGGTTCTGGTTAAATGTCAAGGACCTGCATCTGGYGATGGCCTTCTTTCTATCTGTGTGGTACTGGGGATAGATAGAACCCAGGGTCTTGCATATGCTGGGCAAGTACTCTRCCACTGAATTGCACTTCCAGTCCTTTCTTAATTTTTGAGACAGGGTCTTAATAAGTTGTTGAGGCTGGCCTTGGACTTATGATCCTCCTGCTTCAGTCTCCTGAGCAGCTGGGATTGCAGGTGGGGGCTACTCTACCTGGCTTGGTGAAGCCCTCCCACTGGCAGAGTCCTGAGGTAGACCAGGGCGTGACAGGGTAACAAACAGAGAGCGTATGTGTGTCTCTCCTGGATTCTCTTCTTTTAAAGTCACCAATTTTCTACCAGAGGAACTCTCCTGGGATGACCTAATCCAATCCTCATCACCTCCTCAAGGGCCCAGCTTTAAGCACCAGGGTCAGATCAGGGTTCCACCCTCTTAATAGCTCCCGATGGGGAGTAAATGTCAGCTCCTGACCCCTGGCCACGCCCATGCCATCACGAGTCCTTTGGTGGCACATGATCCTGGTGACCTGGCTCTCTATTGAGTCACCTGCATGTTCACCCATACAATCAGGCCAATTACTTTTCATTTTTAGGTCCAAGRTACTCCTGAGACACAAATTTACTCCTAATTTCACGTGCCATTCATGAGTAAATCATAACGATTTAATACATCAAGGGCTCATTTTAGAAGCTGATCAACAAGCGTGACACTTCTTCTGTCTCATGGCTGGACCTGCTCTCACTAGTAACGCAGTAGAGAGACATGAAGCTTTTTCACTACCACAGGCTGGAATTTGATGGCTAATTTTATGCATCAATATTCAGTATCCAGTTGTTTGGTTAAAAATCAGTGTAGTGCTGCAGTAAAGGTATTTTTTAAGATGAGACTAACATTTAAATCAGTACACTAATTTAAATCTGGAGTAAGAGAGATTGCCCTCCTTAGTGTGGGTGGGCCTCATGTAACCAGTTGAAGTCCTTAAGGRCAAAGACAGATTTCTCTAAAAAGGAATTCTCCAGACTGCAGTAATTTGAACTTGAGACCTCAGTATCAACTCTCCCTTGGCTTTCCAGTCTGCCAAACTGCCCTGCAGATTAAGACTTGCCAGCTCACAATCTCCCGCCTTTATCCAAATTTGTGCGCGCACAAACACACRCGCACACACACACACATCTATATATATATACATTTAATTGGTTCCGTTTCTCTGGAGACCCTGACTAGTAATACAGGTTGGCTCTAACGGGTGGAGCTATCAGACTACACAAGGGCATCATCTCTTAGCTCCAGATTGCAGGCCTCTAAGTGGCTCTGAACACTCTAGATGAAGTGCAGCCTTGAGGTCTTGAACTGGCTCCCCACTCTACCTGGACACTCCTTCCCAAGTGTCTGCTGAGTTCCTCCCTCATCTTTTCTAACTCTCTGCCTCACATGAACCTCATTCCATAAACTCTGGCTTCTTCACGGCATACCCTGCTTCCCACCTCCCCTCTCTAGTGTGATTTCCTCCTTAGACTTGTCTGCACCTGACATATGACATAAAATTGTCAATCAGTATCCGTGAGGGATTGGTTCCAGGGTTCCCTGCAGATGCCAAACCCCATGCATGCTCAAGCCCCTTAATCAAAATGGTGTAGTGTTTGCATACAACCTAGACACATCTTCTCATGGCTTTAGATCATCTCTAGATGATGCATAATACCTGGTGCCATGTAAAAACTATGTCAATACGTGTTACACCATTGTTTAGAGAATAAGAATGGGGGGGGGGTGTGCATGTTCAGTGTAGGCAAAAATTTCCCCCCAAATGTTTTCAATCTCGATCTCAATCCTATTGAATGAATCCGCAGAAGTAGAGCTCAAAGACGTGAAGCCCGCTGTACTAGTTCCTTCTTTTCTGCTTTCTCATACCTGCCCGTCCACTGCTGGAAGGTCAGATCATCAGTGTATAGATGGTGTTGGTCACTGATGCCTCCTTGGTGCCTAGAACAGGGCTCTGCATACAGCAGGTACTCATTAACTGCTCAACTTTCCCTCTGACTGGCCACTGCAGTGACGTCTTTCCCAGGGGACCCAGGGCCCTAATCCACTCAGCACCTAACTATAAGCAAACAAAGGCACGCACCGAAGGGGGGCAGCCGCTGGGCTTCGGAGGCGCAGGTGTCCCTCTCCTGGGTCCTCCTGCCGTAGGTGGCGGAGTAGATGTTGAGGAACTTGGATTCGTGGCAGTGCAGCTTCAGCTCCTGGTCTTCACACACGGTTTTGTTTTTCAGTTCATCTGGAGTGGAAACAAAAGCCGGCGGCACCRTCAGCTCCCCTCGGAAGCAACAGGAACGGTGAGCACTGTCCAAGTCCTGGCGGCCCGTCCCCTGAGCTGTGCTCCAGGACCTGTCTGCCAAGGGCATCTGTGGCCCTGGGAAACAAAGTCCTCTGCAGGAAGCAGTGGAAAGTGACCTGCCGACAGCAGGGAGACCCCAGGAGTGATACCAAGGTGCAAAGAACAGACGCCAGGTGAAGGGAGCAGAGACCCGGACGCCCCGGAGCCTTCCCTCCCCACTCACAGATACCTTGACTGCAGGACCCTTTAAATGTGGACCTGGGACTCTCACAGGGAAAGACCAGGAGTCACCTGGAGAAGCACCCAGGTAAACCGCACTGCCAATGCCACCATCCGCTTCCCCAGAGAGAAAGAGAAGCAGAGATGCTATAAAAGCAAACTACTATTACTACTGCTATTATGATATTATTATTATTATTTTGCTAGGAAACTGGGCCAAAAGAAGGTGCTGAGTCTGTAAAGAATCCYTGTTTGTGGAAGTGTTAGGAGATGCCCCACAACCAGCAACCAAGGTAGGCAAGGTTTGCTTATTTGTTTGGTATAACAAATTCTTTGACTATTATACAGTGACATTATAAGTCCACTGTCAAAGAAAACACTTTATTTTTTAATAGCRTATCCCCAAATCATTCAATTAGTGAAAGGTTTTAATAATGATTTTATTTTTAACATATTTGCTAACACTCCAGCCACGAAAGACTGTGTATCCTATAGTTCCATTTACAGCTGTCCCCACATCATCCGAGCTCCTGCCTTCTAGGCTTTCAGTTACCCACAGTCTGAAAGTAGCCAATGGAAAATTCCAGAAAGATTGACTACATTCCCATAATTTTTATTATAGTAATTGTTATAAATATTTTATTATCATTGTTGTTAAACTCTTACTGTGCCTTGTTTATAAATTAAACTTTATCATAGGTAAGTATGTATAAGGAAAAAAATCACATATATTTCAGGCACCCACTGGGGGTCTTGTAACACAYTCCCCATGGATAAAGGGGGACTATGGTGCAGTCACCGCGTGTTAATTGACAGTGGGAATAAATTCTGAGAAATGTGTCACGAGGGAATTTTMTCATTGGGTGAGCATCACAGTTACTTCCCCATGTCTAGATGGTACCGTCTGCTACACACCTACGCTATCTGGAATAGATGATTGCTGCTAGACCACAAACCCACAGCATGTTACTCTCCTGAACACCACAGGCAATCGCAACACAATGGTAAGTATGTGTGCACCTAAACACAGCCACACACGGAAAAAGCACCGTAAAAATACTAGTTGATAGGAATTTTCCAGACCCATGGTCAGTTTATGGGACCATTGTCATATAGGTGGCCTGTCACTGACCAAAACGTAATTATGTGACATGTGACTGTATACAATAYATTCAGAAAGGGAAGTCTTCAGAGGCAGGATGTAGATGAGTGGTTTCCTGAGGGGATGTCATCAAAGAGCAATAGAAAATGGACAGGGGAGCGTTTTGAGGTGGTAGAAATGTTCTACAGCTGGACTGTGGTCATGGAAGCAAAACTCGGTAGATATAGACTAAAGAACATCAAAGTGTGCACTCAAATGCATGATCTGTATGCTACAAAATTATACTGACTTAATAATATCCTTAACTTATAAACAATAATAACTGATACTCACTTTTTTTTGTGGGGGAGAGGATACCAGGAATTGAACTCAGGGGCCCTTGACCACTGAGCCACACCCCCAGCCCTATTTTTTTGTATTTTATTTAGAAACAGGGTCTCACGGTGGCTCCCCCAAAAAACAAATAACCCAATCAATAAATGGGCCCAGGACATGAACAGACACTTCTCAGAAGAGGATATACAATCGATCTTAAATTGTGTACTCTTCTGAGTAGTGAGTAGTATGTTGAAATCTTTTGCCACCTTGGCTCTATCCCACCCAGGACATGAATCACCCCCTTTTTTAGTGTGTCCACTTGATATGTGCTACCCACCTGTTAGTCATTCACTAACTGTCTTGGTTACCAGATTGACTGTCACTGAATTGCAGTACTTGTGTTCAAATTATTTGTATTTTACTTGATAATGGTCCCAAAGCACAAGGTTATATTGATGCTTGTGATTTTACTATAGTATGTTGATACAATTGTTCTGTTTTATTATTAATTGTTGTTAATCTCTTACCGTCTCTAATTTATAAATTAAACTTTCTCATAGGTGCATATATATAGGAAAAATATAGTACACACGAGGTTGAGTATTCTCTGTGGTTTTGGGCACCCCTGGAGATCTTGGAATTCTTTCTCAGTGGATAAGGGAGGACTACTGTACATAAAATGGGAGCATTCAGGATTAATCAAAGGCTCAGAGCAGAACTCATGTTACAGATGCACAAAATCCCTACCCTGTCTAGTTCCCAAACCACCACCCCTGCCTGTTAGTTGGACACTAGGAAGAACCACATGCAGAGGGCACAGTAGACCAGTGGCTAGGTAAATGTGTAGAAGGCCCTTTACCTGCTCACTGGAAACAGCATAGCAGCTTGAACTTAGAACCAGGGAAAATTTGTTTCCTTTTTTCTAAATAAAAAGAACAYATTGACCCTGACCCTGACTTTGGAGGCTTTGAGTCTTTTGGGTGAGTCATCTCCACAAACGCATGAGGATTTCCATGCATTATGCTAAGTCCCACCAACACTGACATTTTCTTCTGACTTCAAGGGCCCWGGGTGAATTTAATGCAGACCAGAGGCCAAGCACCCACTTCCAACTAGGAGAACACCAGAACATGTGCAGAATGCCTGCCAGGGGCAGAGCTTGTCCCTCCAAAAAGGGCAGGAAAAGGCAAGACAAAACCAAGATTTATCTCAAAAATGGAAACTTTTTTATTTTTTTAAATAAGACTAGATTTTTATTTATTTATTTATTTATTTATTTATTTATTTATTTATTTGGTCAGAATGTTGAAAAATTAGATTTTTTTTAAAGGCACATCATGAAATGTATCTATTAGCCACATCTCTGAGTTCCAGAGGCCATTCATTGAAGGTAGCCTAGAGGCCAGCAGAACCCACCCAAGGTAACAAAGCACCTGCACGTGAGGCCTCCAGAGAGTTCTGTCTCCAGATTACAGGCAAATAATCGACCGAAGTGAAGGGGCCTGTGTCTGTCACATTATGTCCTGGGAGTCACTGTTGTATTATATTTAGTCACTTGGTTCTTTGGGAATGTGCTACCTCACCTAGGAGTGGCATTTCTGGGCTCCAAGGGACAACGGGACTACTAACATAGTTACTCCTTTTCTTAGAGGACTAGGATTTGCTTTGGGATTCATTTGCTCTGCAGTGAGGGGTGAGGGCTGCCCTCCAGAAGTGAGTCACCAACACTCCTGCCTCGTAAGTGAGGAGCTGCACAGGAGCTTGGGGAGGTAGCACCGTGACCCTGCGTAGAGGACCCTGGAATGAAATTCTCCCTCCTGATTCTACCCATTACAGGGCTSTGTGGGACACCCCATCTCTTTTTAATAATACACACACAGGGGATCCTCGGCTTGCAATGGGGTTATGTCCTCATAAACCCATCACGAGTTGATAATATCATTTTTTAAACAGAAATCATGTTTTTAAATCAGAATTTAATTCATTTAATATGCTAATCTACCTAACCTCATCGCTCACCAGCAGAGCGCACTGTAAAGTATTGGTTATCTCCGCTGGTGGCTGGATCACTGACTGGGAGCTGTGGCTTGCAGCCATAGCTCAGCATTGCAAGAGAGGATCGTACTGCATACTGCTAGCCTGGGCAGAGATCAAAATTTGAAATTTGCTAGGCTCAATCCCCAACACCAAAAAGAAAAGAAAAAAAGTGTGGTTTCTACTGAATGTGTATCACTCTCACACCATGATGAAGCTACACGTCAACATCCTAAGTCTGGAACCATCTGTACAGTTGCTAATCAGTAGTAGCCTTTTAAAGATGGGCAGCGGAACAATTTGCCATGATAAAAGTATCTTATTACGGGCATTTCTTACGATAGCCAGAACATGATGACATTAAAATGCAGACAAGCATTTGGTCACTTGCGTTTTTAAATTCTGTACAGTGTGCCCTGCCATTTCCCTCACCCAGGAGAGGCCAGGCCATTCCCCTCACTGCCCTCGGTCACTCAGATCTTTCCCAAGAATGACTATCTTCTTACTTGAATGAGAGCTTCCGGTGACTGCACTCTCCTTCATGACAAGTCTGGTGCTGAGCATTGTACATGCACCACGCTGTTTACAGTCTCTAGACAGCCCTGTGGGGAAGCGGCATTATCTTCAATTACAATGGAGTCCTGGAGCCTCAGAGAGAGTCCTGAACAGGACCCCAGAGGACACAGCAGCTCACTGCAAAAAGGGAAACAGATCCAGAATTGCCTAGATCTAAGACCTCACCAGAACCAAAACTCTCTGTAGACTCGAGACAGAGGGAATGGAGGGAACCCGACCTCACTGGGGATCTTGCACAGATTTCTGYAATTCTCCAAGACATCTGGTAATGGAGCACACAGCACAGGGCGGGGTCTGGCTGTTCTGCGATACTCAGACCTGTTTGTGGGTATTTGTGATTGTGTGTATGTGGGTGTGTGAGGGTGTGCATGATAGTGTGTATGTGTGAGCATGTGTGATTGCATTGTGTATGCTGCAGGGTGGGGTGTATATGATAAGATGTGTGTGTCAATGGAGCATGTGGTGAGTGTGTGATTGGGTGTGTGCACGTGCATGGATGTGTTGTGGGTGTGAACATGTGTGGATTAGTGAATGTGTGAGTGCATTTGCATGCACAGTACCCRGGCAGAGCCACAGGAGCAGTTCCAAGGTTTCCAGGTCCTAGCAGGGAGAGGGTTTAGGAGAAGCTTGGATGTCTGCAGAGAGGATCCAGGGGTTCTCCCCAGATGTGCAGTGGAGAAGTGGCACCCATGTGGCTCTGTGCCTCCTCCCCTCCAGAATCCAGGCTGCAGTGTCGTGGGGAATTCTGGGCTCCAGAAAGAGAACCAACAGAGAACAAAGTGCAAAAAGTGAAAATGATTGTGTGGGGATTATAAAAATTATCATTCCTTATGTTTTGGTTAAATGCTGTTGCTATCATTTCTTTTTCAACGGATTACTTAAGAAAGTCTAGGGACGCAATCCCTCTTGGTGTTTCTCAGGCACACGCTGTGTGCATGGAAGAACGACCCACTCATTGAACAGGGATTATTTTTTGGCTGATAAAAGGTTAATCACAAAACCAATTTGCATTAGAAACAGCAAGAGTCAGTGGAGAAAAGCTCGGGAATCAGATAGGAGAGATTGCTCCGGCCATGTCCTTCCTCTCTCATCCTCCTTGGAATGAAAATGCCCAACAGAGTCTTGGCCATCTATAAAAATCCGAGAAGGCAGTTTCTAAACATTTGAAGCAGTCGTCTCTGGTGACTTCCTTGTCTCCGTCCTCAAGGACTCCAGCCTCCTACCAGGACTGCCTCTAAAGAGCAGAATTAGTTCTGCATTTTGAGGAAAATCAATGGCTGTTCCTTGTCACCTCTAAGAGTTAAGCGTCAGTCAAACTGAGTTTTACGCACTGGGAAGGATTTTTAAATTCATGGATTTATAAAAACACACACGCATTCTTTCTGCCTGTCTGTCTCTGTCTCTCTTTCTTCCCAACGTTTCTGTTAACAAGGTTTCAGAGTTGGATAAACACCAGGGGCAGAGAATTCTCATCAGGAGATTCCAGGAAACCGGGAACCAACCCCACAAGCACTGTTCCCCCCTCAGAAGTTACTTACTAGGTTGGCATTTAAAGGAGACCAGGAGGTATTTACTGCTTCCTGGGCAAAGGTCAGGTCCAAAGACACGGCTATTGACCAGGAGGTGGCAGGCCCGCTGGTTCTGGCACTCGTCCAGCACCTTCTAGAAGGAGGGGTAGAAAAGGCACAGGCTTGTGAACGCACACCGTGTCCGCCAGTCCCCACACCTGTGCTGCTCCGGGCTCTGAGGAGCGGGGAGGCCTCCCCACCGGGCCTAACTGTGTTCAGGACAGAAGTACCCACATGTGGGTGAGGCCGCTGGCTCCCTGCTCCTTCCCGAAGGAAGAGACCCGATCCAGCAGAGCCAGGACCCATCATCTTAGGACCAACACCCAACCAGCTCCAGCTGAGGCTCTGGTTGATTCCTTTGGCAAAAGTGCTGACTTCCGGAGGCTCCAGGGGACATGGGCAATATCAAGTGTCAAATAGCAATGATGATCAGGAATCATCCATACAGCTCCTCCCCTTAGAAGAAGCTCTACAGTGGCCCAGGTGGGGATAGCTGGTCAGTGGGACAGGCCCCAGACACCCCAAGTCTTTCCAGCTCATGACCCAGCAAGAGACCAACAAGTGAAAATTACCGCTAATTCCYACCATGATCAAACTCAAGGGTAGAGAGCCCATGTCTCCCTTGTGGAGCAATTTACTCAGCGGGACACTCAGGCACTGTGCTGAGTATTTATTTTAAAGCTTTCCTTTCTCTCTCTCTCTCTCTCCCCTGATTTTCCTTTTTTCTAGGCAGCTCCTTCATTTGATCATGAATCTGCTCTGTGGAAGCTAATGGACCACCCGACCCTGGGCCACAGAAAGTTCCAGTGTTTTACTGCTATTTTTCCAGTTCCTGGTTTCCAAAAGGAACAAACCCTGTCTGTGATTAAACTCAGAGGTCCCAGACTTGAGGACTTGAAGGATGCTGGCTCTACTAGGTGTCACCTGTCACCTCATGGGCCCAGCAGGTGTGGACCTATCAACAGAAAGATGCCCAGGGAAGCCCCCAACTCCCCAGGAGGTGTTGCTCTCAGAGGAAGATGCATGTTGGCCTGGTCAAGGGTCACCATAAGTGACTCGGATGTCACAGGACGGCGCCTCGAGGACAAGCTGTGTCCCAGCTGGAGAACACAGAGAGGGGACTTCCTGTTGACATTAGTCTTGGGTTGGGTCAGTCGTGGTCACCTGAGTGGATGTCAACCTGTCCCCTCTCTCTCTGCCATGAGCAAACTCTCTTGGAGGAAGCACCTTGCCTCTGTTCCCAGCTAAGCTTTGAAAGTCACAAAGGAAAGGATCTCTTGGTCCTTGGATAAAAGAGCAGGGCACAGGGATGCTTCTGGCAAACGAGCCTCCCAAYGGCATCAGAACAGTGTTCACAAATACTAACTTGTCAGCCTAATGGAACAGCCTCTTCCCTCAGGGGCACCTGGCCGAGGCAGGAGCTCCCGCCTGCCAGAGTTCAGACTTTCTCAAAGGAGGCACTTCCGGGCTTTGGGCACTGGCCAAAGTACTTATTATGCACCTAAGAGGGCAGCAGACAGCTGGACACCAGGGCTGGGTGGGCAGAGCAATGGGAGCAGGTCAAMAGGGAATCGGGGCCCCTGAGGGGAGAATTAGGGTAGGTTGGGCAAACCAGGAGACTAACTGCTCGCCTCCATCGAAACATGTTGTCACTCATCAGAGTGTGGAAGCCGCRTCAAGGGAATTCATTCCAACCCATTCTTTCTGGCCCCGGGGTTAATATTTTCACCAACCACGTGACTGCCTGGACACCAAGATTCTTGGAATGAGAGCAATAAATGTGTGTGAAACAGAAGAACCTCCATCTCATCATAATACTTCTGCCTCTCCTCTTTGGGCCCTAGGAAGAGGGACACAGCATTGAAGGTCATTCTCCTTCTCTTTAGTTATCTTAGTGAATTTATCTTTATCTGTGTTTTCTATGGCTGACAAAATCAAACTGCTTCTAACTTTCCACCTAATCAACACCCAGCTTTCAGTGTATTCATCTGGAACTTGGGAGTCTAAAAAAACATCCCAGGCCAAGTGTCTCCATAATCTTGACCAACTACTTAAAATGCCAGGATTAGTGTATGGAAGTGGCTTGGGTAACTGAAAACCATGGCTAGTCTAAAACCATCAGTGAATATTAGTTTGCCCTCCCTCTACACCATCTTTCCCCAAAAGGGAATGACTTAGAGTTCCCTCCTCCAATTCCTGGTTCTATCTAGAAGAAAAAATAATTCAGCAGAGGCTGCTCAATATAGCTCCAGAGAATARCCAGRATAATGTGATTATCTTGTGGAGAAGCAAGACACAGTTTTTGATATTCCTCTTCCTCGTGTCATTCTCTAAGAAGTTGATCGTGACCTTGTACATCTGCTTCACAGAAACACTCATGGTTTCCACCAAAGAATTCCTTTTCTACTTTGGTATTTGTGGGGGATGTGGACCCAGTGGTTGAAGCCCAACTGTTCAGTAAGGAAGATGCCTATGAATAAATTCATATTGCAAATGTACTAAGGGAGCTCTCCAACAGGTAGGGATTATTTGGACTCTGGTAAAGGCCTTTGAGAAGCAAATAATAGCTCACCTGCCAAATAGGTGATTTGTACAAATTGAGATTTTCAAGGACCGGATTTGCTTCACAAATACATATTCAGGGAGAGACAGAGAAAGAGACTGAGAGACAGAGAGAGAGAGAGAGAGAGCTGAAATCATTTTATCATCTTAACACATCTACAAAAAGGTAATACCTGCAAGGTGGTRGGTGCCACACAGGTTAAGCTGTCTTCCCTCTGGGAGGCAGGCTGCTGGGAACTACACATTTGGTAATCTTGCCCATAAAATGCCGATTGGACACTKATTGTAGAATGCCGAGGGCACTGCAGATTCAAGTGGTCCCCGTCACAGGCATAGGCGGTGTGGTTTTGCAGGAGTTTGGTTAGGTAACCTGGAAAATATTTAGCCSGGTTATAAGAGGCCCAGGAACCCACCACTCCTTCACAGTTTTGGAGCAGGAAGACATTGGTTCCCCCAGGGAAGGGGCTGCTCAGTCAGGAAGATGTGGGGTGTGGCCGCCATAGCTGCTCCAGTAGAGAAGCCACCAGATGTGGCCAAGTTGGAGTTCCAGGAGCAGATGCCAGTTTTCATATCTGGGCCAGAAACCGTGGTCTGGGATGGCCCACTGTGAGGCTCTGAGGCCTCCCTCCCCTCAGGAAGCAGAGGAGACTGGCCAGGAGCCAAGGAGTCTGGAAGTACCYCTATAAAGGAGGAAAACATGCTGAGTGGGAGTCCCCCAGCCTGTGGATGCCTGTCCTGAGGGAGACCAGGCTCTGTGCTCTCCCAGGCCTTGCTGGGGYGAGGGGATGCAGTTTCACTTTGGGAAACTTCTCCAGGGCCTGTCCCCACCCCTGCTGGARAGGAAAGCCAGGTGGCCCCCTGCACTGTGTAGGGCCTGCTGGGAAGAGTGTGGGAGGAGAGAGGGGGAAAGGATGGTGGGGTTTGCTGTGGGTTGAATATGGTCCCCTGAAGGCATATGTTCTCCAGGAACCTCGGAACGYGACCTCATTTGGAAGTAGGGTCACCACAGACATAATTAGTTAAAATGAGGTCATACTGGGGTAAGGAGGTCCCTTACTACCACTTGTCCTTATAARAGGAGACGAAACACAGAAGACAGCYGAGTGAAAACTGAAGGGACATCTACAAGCCAAGGAAGGCCAAGGACTGCCGGCCACCATGGGAAGCYGGGAGAGGCAAGGAAGGAGGATTCCTTGGAGCCTTAGGAGAGAGCGTGGCCCTGCTGACGCCTGGACTCCAGACTTCTGGCCTCCAAAATGTGGGGAGAATGAGTTTCTGATGTGTTTGGCCAATTTACTGCAGCAGAGGAAACGAAGATGGGCTCCCRGTGTGGGCCTCCTCAGCTACTTCTYGGGCACGTTGGAGGAGCTGTCCTGGGCAGGAACTCTGAGGAGCCCTGACCATAGCTGGCCGGCACAGGCCCTGGAACATTTCTCAGAAAGGAGGAAGGAAGGTTTATCCAAAATGGAGATTCCCTTCCTTCTTCTCACACCTCACGAGGTTGACAGCCAGGCTGCTGGGAGCAGAGCCAGGGACTTTCTGGTGAGGTGTGTGGGAGATGCAGTGGGCAGCCCTCGGCCTCTGAGAGGGAGGAGTGAAGGACAGCTCCAGAACGCCCGGTTCCCACACCAATGACCCCTGCTTACGTTGCTCCATTCAGGTTTCAAAATCCTCCCAGGAATGTGATTTCTGGCCAAATCAGTTCCCTGAACTTCCTGGAAACTCACAGTCAAAGGGATTGAGATAGTCTGGCCTGGGGTCATCCCATTCACCCATCTAGAATGTTCTGAAGAGGGCTGCGAACACCTACAAGCACACTTAACCCAGGCCTTGAGTTCCCTCTAAACTTTTATTTCCACCCTTGAAACCTTAAAAAATCCCACCTGTATGTACAGCTGTAAGGCACAAATAAAAAAAAAAAAGGAAGAAAACCATCATGAGAAGGATCACAAATTCAACTACCCCGAGTAAATCCCCTTGGAGGAGCAAAGTCTAACCCTAACCCTAACCCTAACCCTAACCGTAACCCTAAGGGGCACCAGGCACCAGTGTGTCTGAGTCCGGCACAAACAGCCAACATCACCATCGTGGTGCACCTGGCCACACACATCAGAGGCCACGCTGAGGCCCTCCAAGGTCCTGAGCCCTGGGCCAGGGTCTCCCTGAAGGGCACCCAGGTGGACCCTGACAAGGTGAAGGACACTGGCCATTCCAGTCTCCTTTGTGGGATCTCACTATGAGCCACATGCTGCTTCCAGGGACCCAGGGTCACACTGATGCTACCTCTAGGCCAGCGCCCAAGACTGTGAGCCTGCCACTTAGTTCTCTCTCTTCAGACTTCTTATCAAAAGCTTCTTGTCCCTGACTGTATCATTCCCAGGACCCTGATGAGTGACCAGCTGGCTACCATACCCAGGTGATTCTACGAGCATGACTTTGGCTCAAAGTTCATGGTCTTTCCAACGGAATTGTGTGTTATCCAGCTACATGAAAGAAATGACAAGACTCCGGGAGCTATGGAGCCACAAGGCAGGAGGGACCTTGCTCCACCTTCCTGGACAGAAGGGGTGCCTGCTCCACAGACTGTGAAATGGGTGACAAAGAAGCTTTGGCTGTGTTGGGCCGTTATCTTTCTTCACTCTGTTTGTCACATAGTCTAGCCTGTCTAAACAGAACTGGACCTCTTCGGAACCATCTGAATCAAAACACGTGTGTGCAGTGCAGTGGCCCCATACCATACCCACCATA